ATAATTGAAACAATTACAAACATTTAATTAAATTGAAGAATCACGTTTATCAAGTTAATTTGATTTTAATAATTGAAGTAAAACCATTAATCTTAATTAAAATTGATTAAATCCAAAATAAATTTTTTAAGTGAGATTTATAATGATATCAAAAAAAAAAATAGCAAAAGTATATTTAAGGGTAACTTTTCTTAAACTTTTTTTTAAACTTTTAACTTTTCCAATCATATTTGTTTAACATTTTTTTTTCTTACACTTTTTAATTTTTTTTTTCGTTTTCTAATATTTTTTTTCATGCTTTTTTAATTTTTCTTTACTTCCTAACATTTTTTTTTATTCTTTTTTTCAAATTTTCTCATTTTCTCACTTTTTTAAAAAAAAAATGTCTTATAAACGTCGGGAAGCTCAATCTTCAGAAGCGTCAAACCAAAATATAGTAAATCAAATGAGAAATATAGTGATAAAAGTTCATCAAGAAATACAGAAGGTAATAATAACTACTACATTATTATATTATAAACATTAATACAAATGTTTTATTTTAGTTACAAGAAACGCAAGAGAGGTAAGAGGCGTAGTACATGCAAGAGGCTTAAAAAGAAGTAAATGTGTTGAAGAACGTTGTCGTGAAACAGATATTATAAAAGAAGAAGAAGAAGAAGTTTTAAATTCTTCTTATCAATCTACCTCTACTACCTCACAACCATCTTCAACTCAACAATCTACCACTTAACGATCATCATCATCTCTATCACCGATAATTATCAATCCAGTTGACAATAGAGAAATTATCATGAGTAGATCTCACACGCCAATAATGACTCCAGATATCACGTTGCCTACCTCTACTGAGAAACAACAAAGTCGACGCTCAACACCTATAGTTAAACTGGCTATAATTGAATCTGCCCAAAGTTGACACTCAACCCTAATGATCGAAAGAGCATCATATGATAATGTTGAGTCAATGTTAATAAAATTAGGCAAACAAAATTATGATTTATACGAATTGCAAAAAACAATACTTGAAAGAATCATATTGCTTCAGACTCAAATAAAAAACTAAGTAGTGATAAAAATAATGAGCTTAGTTTAAAAGTATTTAACGTAAGTGAGTGATAATTTGTTTGTATTATATTATCACATTTAGATATTAAACGTCATAAGTTATTTATTACTATATTTATTATACAGAATGGATATAACGCAATATGTGCTGAATTTTTTCCAACTAACATGTGGTCAAAGTTCGAGGAATATAAATGATCATTAGAAAAATGGTTAAATTTGAGCTATCTAAGTTATATTCACAAATTGGGTGAACGAAAATGGATCAACTCCTTTAGCGAAAAACATCATTCTATGGTAATTATCATCAGTTAATTGTTAATTTTTAAATATTTAATTTTAATTTTATTTTATGATAGCTTATGCGAAAAATGAAAGACATGAGAAGAAGTCATGTCTCAGCAATCTGAACTGCAATTTTCAGAAAATTAGGACTGCAATTGGCAAACAATAAATATAAAAACTCAAGGGATATTCTAGAATGGAAGCAATCTAGGGAAGTAAAAGACAATTATAATAAATTGTTCACTAAAAGTACCACAATAGAGAATATTACTAGTTCTGCATTTCTATCGCTAGATGATGCTAGTGATGAAAGATTTAGTGATATATACATTTATACCGCATCTGTATGTGATATAATATTAAATCCAAATTGTCCCACTCTCGAAGTCTCTAAGAAATTACTGGAATTATGATTAAAAGGATTTAGGGTATTTATCGAATTTATTTTGTTATTTAAAAATTAATTTTATTAATAAAAGTCAAAATTAGGAAGCGATTGATAAAAACGGTCAAATTAAGCTTAGTGATTCAATATTGATTTTACGTGAAAAAGTGCCTGATATTTCTAGTAAAAAGAAATTTACTGATGATAACGAAGATGAGAATCAGCCACCCGAAGACGAAATAATGTCTAATGATATAAGTTTTAAACAATATGATAAATTGTTTGATTAATAACGGTAATTATTTTATTTTATTCTATTTCTGAATTAATTTTTAAGTTTAATAACATTTATTTTAATTTTGTAATTTTGTTACTTTTGATTTAGGCTTTCATTTATAATTTTCACGGAAAGACGATTATGATTATTTTCTTATTTTTTCGCTTATTTTACCACTAATCTTTTTTTATCTTATTTTACCGCTTAACATTTTTTTCGTTGATTTACATTATTTTATATAATATTTATAATAGAATAAATGCAAAGGAATATTTATCTTTTATAAAACAATGTTTATCATATTAGTTAAATTTCGATGGTTATTGTTTGTATTTCTTATCGTTCAGGTTATTTATCATTAGTATATTTATCAGTGTTTATCAAATTCAATGTTTATAATTTAAATATATATCATTATTTATCATTTTAGGTTAAAATCTGATGTTTTATCATCATTTAACCACATTGATAATTCTTGACGTGATCGATTATTATCGATATATATCATATTTTATAATTACTGTGATAAACAATGATGAAGAGATATATATCACTATATATTCCCCGAAAAAAATTCATGATATTAATTATTAAATATGGATTTCTTGGTTGGGTTGAAGAGGGATTCCAGTGATCAGTTAGTCTAAATGGGTTTGAGCTTTTATTAGCAACAGAACTACAAGAGATGGTCATAGTTTAGTTTTTTACCTACTTTGTAATTCTTCTTTGTAATTTTTATTTAGTATATAATGTAAAATTTTAATAAACTTATGGCAGTATTGCATCATTAAAAATCAAAAAAAAACCCCCATTCAATTCCTTGTGACTTGACGGATCCAATGAGCTAATATTCATTGATTTTAGATCAGCCCATCTCGAGATATTCACGATTGTATTTCGAAATCCAGACTCCTTTATTTAAAGTAGAATTTATTGATTCATAATTTCAGCCGATAATATAATTGCGATTATCTTGCGATGGATGATCCAAAACCAATGAATATTAGCTTATTGGATTCGTCAAGTCACAAGGAATCGAATGGTAGTTATTTCATACGAATCGAAGCGATATTGACCGAGATCGTACATTTTTTGTTTATTGTTTTTTCTCAATATGAAAAATCATGTGATATGACATTATTTCGACTATTTCGCGACTTTAGCCTTCAATGGTCGAAATGATTTTGACCATTTTGACCATTTCGGATATCTGAAATGATCCATTTTGACTTCATGTATAGTAATGATGTTGTAAGAAGCTCTTTGATTTTCTTGGTCATGTGACTCTTCATTTTATTTAAGTTCTTCAGACCAAGATTTTTTTTTCTCTTTATCAACAGGAGAATGCATAGAGTCGTTAGTGGTTTGTTTTAGAAGAGAAGTTTGAAGAGGAGTGTTGGTAGAAGTAGTATTAATATCCATTTCCAAAGGCACTTCGTTAGAGAGAATATTGTTGTTAGTAGGGTTCCGCAATTCGATTTGATATTTGAATATTTGATTTGATTCAATCAAATTCAAATCAAAGAATGATTTATTTGATCAAATCCAAATTAATGTTTGATTCGATTTGATCAAATTCAAATCAAAGAATTATTTATTTGATCAAATCTAAATCAATGTTTGATTCGATTTGATCAAATTCAAATCAAGTATTCAAATATTTGATTTGATTCAAATCAATAGTAAAGCTATTTCCAAAGTTTCAGGAGTGAATATTACTAAGAAACCCATAGTAAAAAACACATCTGCAGCTTTTTTACTATGAAAAACATGTAAAAAGTGCTTCCGCGGCTTTAGAACAACCTTTTTTACTAAGAAAAATATAGAAAAAGCGCCTCCGCAGCTTCAGAAATGCCTTTTTACTAAGAAAAACATAGTAAAAACGCCTTCACAGCTTTTAGAGACGTTATTTACTAAGAAAACATAATAAAAAACGCCTCCACAGCTTTGGAGATGCTATTTTATTAAGAAACCTAGTAAAAAAACGCCTCCATGGCTTTGGAAATATTTTTTTAATAATAAAATAGTTACGTAGCCGAGATGGCGGCTATTACTAAGTTTCTTAGTAAACTGAAGCCGTGATGTTGGTTATTACTAAGTTTTCATAGTAAACCAAAGCCGCGATGGTGGTTATTACTAAGTTTCTTAATAAACTAAAGTTACGATGGCGGTTATTACTAAGCTTCTTAGTAAACTGAAGCTGCGATGGCAGTTATTACTAAATTTTCTTAGTAAAACTAAGACTGCGGAGTTATTTTACTAAGTTTAATAGTAAAAATTTACCTGTTACTAAACTTACTTTGTAAAACCTATTTTTGAAATTTTTTGTGCAATTACTAATAATCTTCTTAATTAAACCTTTATAATAACTTTATTTTAATATATCATTGTAAAAATTAAAAATTTTTTACATTCGATTTGATTTGATTTGATTCAATCAAATATTTGATTTGATTTGATTTTATTTGACAAATATTTGATTCAAATTGATTTGATCAAATATTTGAGTTCAATTCGATTCAATTCGATTCAATTTGAAAAAATCAAATCAAATTCAAATTGCTTAAATATTTGATTCGATTTGATTTTGAGGAACCCTAGTTGTTAGTGTGTTTAAATTTTTTATATAGAAGTTAAGATTGAAGAACATTTAGAAATTACATTGTTATATTAACAATCTCATTTGAATTTCTTGTTGACAGCTCAGTCATTAAATATGGATTTTTTGGTTGGGTTGAAAGGAGATTCTAGTGATCAGTCAATCTAAATGAGTTTAAGCTTTTATTAATAATAGAACTTCGAGAGATAGTCATAGTTTAGTTATTTTATTTATTTTGTAATTTTTCCTTTGTGATTTTTTATCTAGTATACAATATAAAATTTTTAATAAACTTATGGTAGTACTGCATCTTTAAAAGTAAAAAAAACCATTTGATTTTTCGCACTAGATGAATCTAAAAAGCTAATTTATATTAATTTTGGATTATCCAATCTCAAGATAATCGTAATTGTATTATTGGCCAAAATTATGAATCAATAAATTCTACTTTAAATAAAGGAATCTGAATTTCAAAATTTGATCACAAATATCTCAAGATAGGCTGATCCAAAATCAAAAAATAGCTTTCTCATAAATGTTCAAATTATTAAAAAAGATTGATAAAAACAAAAAATATGCCAGTTATTATAGTGACTTCTTCTAAACAACAAACTAAAAAACTTATCAACTAAAGATGGATACCATAATTAAGAAGTTGCAACTTGGTTGCAACTCCTTGTAAATTTATTTTAATATAAAAATTCATAAAATGTTGCAACTCAAAGTGTTGTAATTTAAGTTGCAACTAGTTAAAAATTTTAAAAATAATTATGGAAATCATCTTTATTATCAACACAACAAATGTAATATTCTAGTTAACAATCCTAATACTACAAGTTTCACCTCAAAAACAACTGAAACTAACGAAAACAGTGCTTCTTCAAATAAACAAAAAATTTCAACACTTTTAACCGAAAATACTATTGATCCAGAAATTGAAAAAATTGGCACAAACGTAGTTTCAATGATAAATAACATACTTTTATTAGAACAAATCACTGACAAAAATATTTCTTCCAACAATATGCTCTTATAAATAGATGTTAATACAACTTCTAATTCTACTTCTTCTCAAACTTTTACTCTAGAACAGATGGCAAATGACTCTATATATGCTCATAATAACAATGACAATATGTTTGACAATACTGGTTTTGATTATATTCTTTCTACCACTGACAAAGGGAAACAGAAACAATCCTGATCTGAAAAAATTGAACAAAATGAAAGGTCATATAATCAAAAAAATAAGGAGGCTACCTATAATATTATCACTGCCTTATGCGTTTTTTTGCGACTAATAATATGTTATATATAAAAGGAAAACTATAGCTAAAAAACACACATTTATTAATTCCTTATTCATAAAATACAATAGTTTTCAAATCTCTACCTACGTTACTAAATTCAGAAAATTTTCAGTCTATTTTTGATCAATGAAGGAAATGACACATACTATTACAAAAACACAGGAGATATAACATAATCCTATTTTTACTATCATTAACTTTACAGCTAAAAAACTCAAACAAGGCTCTGAAAATAGAAGAATTCTTAAAGTATCAGATATCCTCTTATTCGTTAAATCTGATATATTATGTAATTTCTTCTTCAGATATGGAGCGATAATCTATTTTTCAATAATCATCTGAAGTCTTTAGCAGATCACCTTCATTGTATTCGAAAATGCTGATATCATCAAACCATTTTACGACAAACTCTGGTCAGTTCAATTTCTCGAAAATGCTCTCAGAATTGAGTTTACTGATTTGAACTAATGTAATAATATAAACTTAAACTCATCGGTCTTTCTAACAATATTGACCAACAACAGTTAGATGATTTTCTTGCACATATTAACACTAGAATGTACTTCATCTTACGTGACCAATAATACAGACTAAGACTGTACGCTTTTATAAATTTTGTAACTCTCGATAACCTTGATGCTGCAACAATAAAATTCCAAAAATTCAAAGGAAAAACCTTATATTGGAAGAACAATCTACCAAACATTGCCAAAGCTGTTCCAACTCTTTAATACACAAACAAATTAAAAAATTATATAAACTTAATTATAAGATAAACAAATCTTTTTTTAATCACACTTACCTTTATTACCCTTTCCAAATTTTCGTAACAAATATAAATCATTACTATCAATAGCTTCTTAACACTATATTTCTACAGTCTCAATTGATGATCATAATATAGCAAACCGCTAATTAAACTATTTAACTGAACTTAAATCTGATATTATTAAACCCACACAAGCTAAACAACAAATAATATCCAGGTTTGAAAATAACGAAAGAATTCTGGAATTTATAAAATAAAGAAATAACAACTTTAAAGATTCTTCTACTAAAATAATAGATTCTTATTTCAAAAAAAATTGAAAAGCTATTATTTTT